AAAAAACCCGGGCGATTCTTTGAGCTCCCTCTAGGCGGTCATAGTATTCTCCAATGCTTATATCACAATCATACAAGTGCCGTACTTTTCCTAGTTCATGAGGGCTAGTGTTGCCGCTCATGCTTGATCTGATGCCTTATATGCCTTTTTTTAAAGTAGTCTGGATCCTTTTGCTTTTGTTTTTATGGCACTCGAACGGAGAGCTTATTTTTAATCCAAGACTAAGGGACACTAATCGTCAAATTTATTATTAGATGGTTGTGGGAGAATTGTGTGATTCTAAATGTACTTTTTACCGCTCGGTTTATTTCAGTTAACAATTTCAGACCTTGACTTTGAACTACATTATGCTATATGAAGCAATTTGGATGTCTAAAGTAATTTTTCTTTCACTGTTCTATAATGATATGTTTAAGCTGAGTAACCTGCTCCCTTGACCAATAACTCCACAATATATCTATTTTATTTCTGCTCATGGCTAACCTGTCTGGTTCTTGATATAATCGGCTTTTATATTTTTATATGGACTACAAATATTAGGGTAATTTTAAATTTTCTTCCATATGCTACTTTTGTGGCTAACTCTAGTGCATCATTTTTGTGGATCCTTTGCTGCTGGCAGGACTGCTAAGCATTCCATTATTGGTGATGTTTTTGGTCTTCTTTCAGCTGTGTGTTATGGCTTATTTACAGGTAGGATATCAATCAGGGTTGGGATGAAATTGCCACTTTTATTTTATAATGATAATGCTAGTTTCACGGTTTTCTGATGTGCTCAGTGCTCCTCAAGAAATCTGCTGGATCAGGAGAAAAGACAGATATGGAGAAGTTCTTTGGATATCTTGGAGTATTCACTTTGCTCGGCCTTTGGTGGATTGGTAATGGACATTTTGGAAATTTGCGCCCCTGGAAAGAACATCATGAATATTTTAAAATTTCTTTGTATTCAAAGAAGCTGCCCACTATTCTCAGTTTTTGGCGTATCAAGAGAAAATAACATTCTTATGAGTAATAAATCAAGAAATCCAAGAATTGAATAAGGTGATCAGGTTTTTCTTCTTTATTTGTTTAGAAGGGGAGGGCACCTAGGTCTATACTACAGGGAAAGAAAGAGGACAAATATAGGATACCGTGCATAGACATGTTAAATTCTTCAGAAATCTAAGTAAACAGTGATAACACAACTGCTCTTGTAAGGAAGGTGATTTTCTTTAGGTAGTGATCAAATTTTGGAACTGATTTCATTAAGTTCTTTTGGAACTTTCTCCGCAGAAAAAATGAAAATATTCTTTTGAACTTTTAGGTTTGGAGTAAATGTGTTCTTTTGGGGCTTTTAGGTTTGAATTGGTCTCTGTTGTTTTATTGTTGTACTTCATGATGTTATTCTGTTCCATGTAGTAGCACCATTTTTAATTGTCACATGTAATTGAAGAGTTGAAGGTTGAAATTATAATATATTGGAAGCGGATCCAAAGTTAGAGTGTACTTTTAAAGTTTGAGATTTTATAAGAATAGAAGTGGGACCATCTACTTTTGAAATACTATAATACTGCAAAAGCAAACAATGGAAAAACTTCCCTTTCATGGGAAATGAAACTCTCTTGGTTTTGAAAAGGAAAGAGGACAAATAATCTTTTCCGCAGTGGGTAGAAGTCAAATATTTTCTAAGCCAGTGGAAAGAACTTCCAGATTTCAAGTGTGATTGCAACCAGTCCTATATTATACCGTACCGTCCTTAGTTTGAATCTCTTACTTAATTGAGTGTGTATTACTGATTTTTATCATCCCTAATTCTTTTTCCAGCATGGCCATTAAATGCTATTGGATTGGAACCTAAGTTTGATTTCCCAAGCTCGGCTTCTGTTGCTGAGGTTGTGCTGCTGAATGGCTTTATTGGGAGTGTTTTCTCTGACTACTTATGGTACGTACCAACACTTATCATCGTGAAAAATAAGAAAATAAACAGAGAACTTGTTTTGAGCTGATTATGAAACAAGATACAAGAGGGCTCCTTTGTAGGAGTACCACTGCTAGAAATAAGATTAAACTATGCGAAATGAGGAAAGTTACCCGAATATGGAGATTCCTTATTATATCGGAATTAGGAAGAGCTTTCTATACGCTTAACCTTGTTGAGCTAGCTCCCTCAAAGGAGATTTTGAGTAGCTGCAACTGAGTGGAAAATAACAAAAAGATGTTCATTCCATCATCTAGTTCTAGTTACTATTAACTTATAGCAACTTCACTGGCTAATTAACTAAACCAACTACTAGCGAACTAATTAACTTAACTAAGCTCCAACTCTAACTCGTCACATTTCTCACAGCCTGTCACTCCACTCTCTTTTTTTCCGTATCACTTAGTAGTCCTCGAGTTCAGAGGGTATAGAAGATATTTTCGCACCCAGCTTGCACAGGAAGGTATTCATGCTGAGTCTCTTCATGGCTCTTGATTAAGATATCTGCTAGTTACTCCTTTGTGCGAATGTATTGTCTACTAATAGCATTAACCTTGACCTTCTCCCTTGTGAAATGACATCAATATCTATGTCAGAACTGATGCTTCTGAGTTTCAATAAATTCATAGAATGAATCTTAGAATATTCTAAGAATACGAGCATTAAATCTTGACTTTGAATAAACCCATTTCTTCCATCTCAAAAAATAAACCCATTTGGATCTTGTGTTAGGTCACTTTTTTTTTTTTTTGGTAAATAAAAGAATTTTATTAACCAATGTAAGAATTACAAGCAGAGAGAAACGAATTGCTGGAACCCTGTATCACAGGTCCAACAACAAACAACATCATTACTCTACTATTCTTGATTCCTAGTTCTAGCTACTAAAGACAGACTCGCAAAGTGGGGAATGAATGTCGATATAAAGTGCCCTTTGTGTTTGACTGAAAATGAGACAGTGTCGCACCTTTTCTTTGAGTGCCAATTTGCTTCTAACGTTTGGAACAAAATGCTCCGATGGCAAGGAATAAGTAGACAAGCTTTCAGGTGGCAGGAGGAGTTGGAATGGATGGTAAACAATTGCAAAGGGAAGTCTGCCAGTTCTCACATCTATAGAATTGCTATTGCAGGTTGTGTTAGGTCACTTTTACATTGCTGCTTAGGTTAAGGTAGATAATCTTTATTATCTCTATTCATATTGATCAACTCTAGGGAAAACATTTTCTGGGGTTAACCCCGCCCCTCAAAACATTTAGCTTGACCACAATATGCTAAATCAGATGACAGTGGAGACAAAATGAAATCAAATTGCAAGGAGAGCAAAACAATTCTCGGGTTCACCGGAATCTGCCTGTCTTTTTTCTCTACATTGATATCTACTTTTGCTCTATAAGTTTTTAGATTAACAGGGGTAAGTTCTTGAATTATGAAACAGGGCCCTTTCAGTAGTATGGACAACACCACTAGTTGCGACACTGGGAATGTCATTGACCATACCTCTTGCTATGATTGCTGACATGCTAGTTCACGGCCGTCATTACTCTGCAGTTTACATTTTTGGATGCATTCAGGTTTTTCTCTTGGCCAACTCCCTACATAGCTTCAAGTTACAATTTTCGTGTAGTTTTTGGTTTGTGTCACAAACTTCTATTGGAATCTACAAGTAGTGGTCTCCAACTTACAGTGGCCACTTGCCATTTTACTTCTTTTTTTCAAGGTTTTTGCTGGATTTGTTATAGCCAACCTCTCTGACAAGTGTTCGTGCGGAAGAAGATAACCTCATGGCTACTCAGTTTCAAGATGGAGAGCGTTTTAATCTCAAGTGTATAAAACATATACTGGGGTAGAAAAATAAAGTTTTCTTCCCCTCGTGAACAAGATTTATATATGCTAATATGGTGTAATTGTAATAAGAGTGTTTCAAAGTGTATATACTTTTTTTATTTTTGCAGTATGTATTCCTTCTCCATGGAAGTATTCCTTAAATTTCTCATCATCTCAATTATTTATCACATCATCTATCGTCCGTTTGTTAGCTTGTTTTCTTTTTCTCCCTTTCTCCGTCATCCTTTAAATCATTGTGGCTTTCACATACTTTGATACTACTACCTAAGGGGAAAAAAATAAAGGGAAAAGGGCCAAAATACCCTTTGCTTGTGTGAAAACGATCTGTTATGCCATCTGTTATATTTTCGGTCTATCATTGCTCCCGATACTATAAAATTGGTGCAAAAATACTTCTCCGTCATTAGGACCCTCTGCCATAGACACTACGTCTCACGTGAGCGGACATTTTGTTGAGGTGGCCTCATATGGCATGCCACCTCGCTACCCCAACCCCACTTTATCCCCCTCCCCTATTTCTTCTTCCACCACAACCTTCCCCTTTCACCCCAAAATGGATATACCATCTGAATTCAAATATATCGCATCCAACAAGTAAAAATGAACCAAATCCAATGGAAATCTGCACAATTTATCTGTGGCATTTAATTGGCAGGTACTAGCTATGTCAAGCCTTGAAGCATAAAACTCTACGGAATCAGTTTAAAACTAGAAGTAGTTTTTTTGTTGCTAAATCATGCATTTGTCATTTTATTGAAAACTTAAAGTAGAATATTACAAAGAGGGAACTGAACGCGCAGTGCAGTCCCTGTGGAGTCCAAAAGTAAGTGCGATAACATAAAAGGTGGGGGGTTCTCAAAAAACATAACATCCTGAGGTTGGGTAATTTGCATATCCCTTCCAAAACGTGCCAGAGCATCCGCTACTCCATTCCCCTCCCTGAATATGTTGGATGGCCGGCATATGCAGTTCATATAGCATCAACCTGCAAGCATTAAAAATGTGTGTGATTACCTGATGGTAAGAGAGCGATAAGTACCTGAGAGTCGATCTCCACTATGTGTGGGGTGAGTGATCAATTGATTGCAAAACGTAGGTTATAATAAAGAACAAGCAATTCCGCTTGCAAAACGTTGGTAAAGTATAGGGGTTTACAATAGCCTCCTAATCAATCATCAATGGAATCTCGAAAGATGCCTCCTACCCTTCCACGATGTATGTTGGGGTCAAATGCGCCATCTATATTAAGTTTGTAGATGCTAGATTTAGGTGGCTGCCAGGAAATATAATAGTTGTGAGTTTGCGTGGATGGGGGTTGGCAGAGATGAGATATTTGAGTTCAGCGGCTAAGAGGCAGATGGCATTAATAGGGACGGTTGTATTAGTGTGGTTGAAGAGATCATGGTTACGGTTGAGCCAAACGTGCCAGAGAATAATAGGCACAAGTTGAGTTGTAGGTGAATTAACGTGTGATGTAACAGAGGAACGTAGATGTAGTAGCTCGACAGATGTACATAGATGGTGTAGCCAATTTATATGGTTAGTAAATGGAATAAGATGTTAAAATGATGCCAGATTTGTATGGTTGGCGTGCAAGCAGTGAAGATGTGGATGATATTGTCACGACCCGAATTTTCCACCGTGGGGACCGTGATGGCGCCTAAAATTGCACTCGCAAGGCAAGCCAACGTTAGAGTTCTATTCACCTTTTTCCTTTACATTTTATAATTAAAATTAACAAGGCTAAATCACATTGAAATAAATGTGGAAGTGCATAATAAGCTGGTTATCCATATATTATTAATAATACTGAAACTGTTACCACCCAGAAACTGGTGTCACAATCCACTAACATACTAAGAATATCTACAAGTATTAGTCTGAAAGAAAAGTACATCTGTCTCGAAAGAAGATAAAATAGGAATATAGAAATATAGGAGGGGACGCCAGTGCCTGCGGATGCCTGCAGGTTTACCTTGGGTCTCCTAGATGAATGCCTGCAACTAACCTCTCGATCAGCCACAACCAGCTCCAAAATCTACACAGAAAGTACAGAGTACAGTATTAGCACAACCGACCCCATATACTGGTAACTGCCGAGCCTAATCTCGACGAGGTAGTGACGAGGCTACAGCGGGGCATTTACAATATAACCTCCATACAGTATATAATAAAGCAAAAGGAAAGTACGGAACGAAATGGAACAGTAACTTGTAGTAAATAAATATGGAACCTAATTATCTTGCCAGTACTTAGCTATAACCAAATCCTTCAGAGAGTTACAATGCTACATAATAAAATAACATCAGAAGAAGAATACATAAACAATAAAATGATGCAGCGCGTATCCCGATCCCACCATATAATCAGTAACACTATGAACATTTATCCTTATTACTCTTGTTCTGGTGTGCAACCTGATTCCACCAGTCCACCCTTATTGCTCCTCAATATATCACCCTTATTCCTCCTGTTGCGGCGTGAAACCCGATCCCACCCGTCCACCTTTATTACTCCTGTTGCGGCGCACAACCCGATCCCACCAGACAATCACATCTTACCCTTATTCCTCCTCAATATACCACCATTATTTCTCCTATTGCGGCGTGTAACCCGATCCCATCATATTAGTACCAATCACACAATAAGAACAAGTATTTCACAAATTAGCCCAAAACCCTCCACAACATTTATGCCTCAAACCAAAGCAAACGGAAATCTATACAATTATGAAACTTCATCAATTAACACTACTCAGCGAGACCAACCAAAATGTACCATGAAACACCGATAAACCAACTTAAACCAATAATGTGGCATAATGAACTACGAAATAATTAATACCTTTAATAAAGAAAACAACATCTAACAAGAAGCAATTAAACATGGAAGCACCAATAAGCATGTAACAGTTAAGACAGGAAAACAATATATTAGGAATGGAGAAGGGAACAGGCTAAACAGATAATTTGGCGGCACATAGGTACTCGTCACCTTACCTATACGCCACACACATGAATTTTCACATAGTAATTAAGTCGGGGATCCCTAATCCCTCAAGCCGAAGTTAGACACAACACTTACCTCAATCCAACAGCCAAATCAAAGCTCAATTATTGCTTTTCCTCTAGTTTCCACCTCCAATCCACTCGTATATAGTCATAATTAACTTAATAACATCAATTATCGCTAAAGAAATCAATTCCAATGCATAATTATAGGCTTCCCAATATTTTCCCCAAAAAGTAAAAAACGGACCCCAGGCCTGCTTGGTCAAAACCCAAAATTTGGACCAAAACCTGATTACTCATTCACCCCCGAGCCCAGATGTACAATTGGTTTTGGAATCACACCTCAATTTGAGGTCTAAATCCCCAAATTTTGAAATTCCTAAGCTCTACCTAAAAATCTCCAATTCTACCATGGAAAACCCTAGATTCTAGGATGAAATCTTACAAAAAGTAGTAAAATATTGAAAAGAAATGAGGTAAGATTCACTTTCATATGATTTGGGGAAGAAATGGTCTTTGGAAAATCGCCTCTTGAGGTTTAGGTTTTGAAAAATGGGAGAATGAATGAAAAATCCCATCCAAAATCGTTTTTGAACAGTTGCAGATATCGCATGTGCGATCAGGGGATCGAAAATGCGAACCCCACAAATGTGAACATCCCTTCGCAAATGCGAAGAATGTCCAGGACCTGCTACTATTGCAAATGCGAACAATTGTTCGCAAATGCGACCTGTTCTTATCGCAATTGCAATCCTGAACTTCGCAATTGCGAAGGTTCCCTCCCAGCCCTTCTGATGCAAATGCAAAACTTCTTCGCAAATACGATGCTCGCACTTGCGAGCCAGACTTTGCAAAATTCCTTAAATCTAAATCACTCGGTAGCCTATCTGAAACTCACCCGAGCCCTCGGGGTTCCAAACCAAACATACACACAAGTCTTAAAACATCATACGAACTTGCTCGCGCGATCAGATCAACAAAATAACATCTAGAATTACGAATTTAGCACCAAATTGCATGAAATTTTCAAGATAGTTTCAAAACTTCTATTTCCTCAACCAAAGGTCCGAATCACGTCAAATCAGTCTCGTTTATCACCAAATTTCATAGGTAAGGTATAAATATCATAATAGACCTGTATCGGTTTCCGGAACCACAATACGGAGTCGGTATCAACAAGATCAATTATTAACCAAATTATTTAAACCTTTATAATTCCAATTTTACAATTTTCATCAAAAATTCATTTCTTAGGCTTGGAACCTTGGAATTCGATTCCGGGCATACGCCTGGGTCCAATATTTTACTTCGGACCTATCGTGATCGTCAAAATATAGGTCCAGGTTTGTTTTCCCAAAATATTGACCGAAGTCAACAAAAATTAACCTTTTAGGTCAAAATTTATTATTTCATCAATTTTTCATATAAAACCTTTCTGGATACGCGCTCGGACTACGCACCAAATCGAGGAGAGATACAATAAGGTTTTTAAGGAATCAGAATACGGAATCGAGTTTTAAAATATAAGATGAACCTTTGGGTCATCACATTCTCCACCACTAAAACAATCATTCGTCCTCAAACGGACATTGAAAAGTACCTGAGTCGGTGAAAAGATGAGGATATCTACTCCGCGTATAGGACTCAAACTCCCAGGTAGCTGTCTCCATAGGCTGACCTCTCCACTGCACACGAACCGAAGGATAACTCTTCGATCTCAACTGACGTACCTGCCGGTCTAGAATAGCTACTGGCTCCTCCTCGTGGGTCAGATCATTGTCCAACTGGACAACGCTAAAATCTAATATGTGGGATGGATCGTTGTGATACTTCCGAAGAATGGACACATCGAAGACTAGATGTACCGCTGATAAGCCTGGGGGCAACGCAAGTTTGTAGGCCACCTCTCCCACTCGATCAAGAATCTCAAAAGGCCCGATGAACCTAGAGCTTAACTTGACCTTCTTCCCAAACAGCATCACACCCTTCATGGGTGACACTCGGAGCAGCACTCTCTCTACGACCATGAATGCCACATCACGAACCTTACTGTCGACATAACTCTTCTGCTTGAACTGAGTTGTACAAAGTCTATCATGTATGATCTTAACCTTATCCAAGGCATCCTGCACTAAATCTGTACCCAATAATCGAGCCT